TATGACAAGAGTTAAGAGACTTAATCTAGCAATTAAATACACGTTAAGAGATGCATTTCTTGTGTGATGCAAAGGGTCATTAAATCAGCTTAATTGGTGTCCTGCTGTAGGAGTGTGTGCTTTTAGTTACTGGCAAAGAACGAGCATTGGGCGTTGCTTTGTGTGAATTTCAGTTTCAGAAATGGAGTTGAAAATACACTTGCTTCGTGCTTGTTGCTGTGTGGCTGTGATTTAACAAGGAAAAAAGTGTTCTACACTTGCCAGCAAGTCAATTCCTTTACTACACACACAGTCTTTTTAAGAAAGGATGGCATTTGCAAAGTAAGTGGGGTGTTTTTAAACACTCTCAAATGAGGCTTGGGGATAAGGTCTGTCAATTTTAAGTATTTCTTGTGCTCACTCCCCTGAATGGGTCCCTGAAAGGTAGCATGGATCTCAAGATCATGAACACAAGGACAAAGGAGAAGAATAAGTGGGCTGTTTTTTTCCCTCTTAATAGATCAGTAGACTTGATGATCTTTGCAAGTCCCTTCCAATCGAACAATTCTAAATAATCTGTTAAACTGAAACACGAAAGCTTCTGATGATATATCAGGATCATTTCCCTTTTATTTTTCAGCAAGGGTGTGACCAAATAGTGTAAGAGGAACTCAGAGAGGTTTTTACAATCTCCATCCTTGGAGATAATCAAAAATAATTAGATGAGGCACTAAATAACCTGCTCTAAATGGGCTGGTTTTGGGCAGGGTTCTGACTAGGTGACCTCTGGAGGTCCTTTCCTGTCTAAATCATTTGGGTGATTCTATGAAGTTTATTCAAAGTAGAGCCAAGTTTTTGTGGCATCAAGGTAAGGAAAACAAGCAGCTCAGGGCCTGAGATGGTAAAGACTTTGATGCATGTTTCACAAGTTGTGGGCAAGACTTCAGCTGGTACTTAGCTTTTGCACTGTGCTGCTTGTACTGTATGTATGTTATGTAGGAGGATGATTCCTTGAAGGTACCTACACAAGGGGACAGGCATCACATAGGCCATTCCACTAATTATGTTATGCATGTGAGCTGACCTTTGCATTTTTGGACCGAAGCCTGACTCCATCACTCATATACACCTGGTTCACTGTAACACTACCAAACACAGGCTTTGCCCTGCCATCCTTTGAGTACTGGTTTCTCAGCAGTAACTATGCTATCATTCTCTCTATAAAGAGCTATGCATGCCTGTTATATTCCTTGGTGTTGCTCAGTTGTGATGTTTCAGCAGTGGTTGATGGTAGGCTCTGGCATCTCATCCTGCCTGCTGACTAGGAGCAATGTGTACACTAGGCAGCCAGTTGGAAACTCTTCCTCCCAAGTCAGAAGAACATCTGTAGTGGTCTTAGCTTCTCCACAAACTTGAACGCAGCAACACAACTGCCAAGTCATGTGGTGGTTCAGGATGTGCTGGTGATGGAAAGTTTCTGTTTGCAGGATTGTGACGGAGATGCAGTTCCAGTAATTCAGGGATGTACTGACACACCAACTGTTCATACTGTTCTCCTTCATTTTATTACCAGAATTCTTGAATTTAATTATAGCTTCCCAGCTTGTTGTTCCCTGCTGTTTGTTCTTTATGCAAACTGTATATGTCATCATGGTCTAAGCTATTTTTGGCACAGCATTAATCCTTCTGTACAGTGACCCTGCCCTGTTCTGTTTCCTCTCTGAAAGCTGATGAGGAGCTTGTTGGCTTTGTGCTCTGAAGCGCTGACTCCAGCTCTCTGAACACACATGAGTGTGAGGGTTACACGGGGATTTCTGGCGACCTGCTGGGCCTCAGTTATTTTGTTTATGGTGGAGAGGCTGAAAATCTCCAGGCAGTGTAATTGGTCTGACAGCCACTTCCACAGTGTCTGCGTATCACAAAGAAAAGTGCTGTCAAGCAGCACTGCCACGAGGCATATTAATGACAAAGTTTGGATGAATGGGGCTTTGGATATGTGTAGTCTGATGACTAAGGAGAGGCTGTGGTGCATATGCATTTGTAATGCCTTTGCATGGACTGTGGTGGAGTGCTCTTTTGGCAACGTATCAGCAGTGAAGCAATATCCGTGTTGTAGTGAGGTAAGCAACAATTCTCCATCTAGCACGAGATGCTGAAATAGATTGGTTCTCAGCTTGCTGCTGCTTGTTGTGTTGCATCCAATTTTCTGCTTTGTGCTTTCTCATTTCACGTTTGTAATTGTTCATTCTGCACCTGGAAAAATCTTGCCTCCATTAATGAGGGTTGTTCCAATGTAGATAACAGGATGTTCTGCTGGAATTTACATTCTCTACTTTCATAGTTCTTAATGAATTCTTTTAATCATGTTAATGACAAATGTCTAATCGTTAAACACTTGGATATTGCAATGTCAGATAGCAAAAGAAGTGTCAAGATAGGTACAATTATTAAGTTGCTGTAGCTGTACTGGCTCTAGGACATATGGAAAGTGTCATTTCTTAAACTGATCGTTTTAGCTGGAAAAAGTCCAAGAGGTAAAAAGCACTCTTCAGGCCTTGAAAAAATCCGTGGATTGATTACAGATCACGCAGATGGCCATCAAGGAAGGCATGCAGATGCTAATGGCTGACCTGGACTATGGATACAACAAAGCAGATAGGAAATGAAAACAAATGCTCTCCATCTCAAGAGAGCTTAGGTTTGATAACTCCTTTGAAACTCACAGCTCTCCTCTGCAGACATTGATTAAACAAAGTCCCCAGCAGTGTTTCAGTACAGTTTAACGGAATTTGTAAGAGAACAATTGAGATCATCTTATTTTGCAATCCCACCATCTTGTGGCAGTCTGTGGCATTGCCTTAGCATTTGGTCAATACTAAGGAGCACATTAATTTAAAAGATAGCAAGCGTGTCCCTGTCTACTAGTAAACGGGTACCTCAGCTCAGAAAACACCTTTCTGTAGACTCAGATACATGTATCAGGACCTTAGTTTGAGTATGCGAGTCTTCCTACATTTTCCTTGCTCCTTGGTATCCTACCTTTCATTTCTCTCCCTGTTCCTCTTCAGCAGAACCAAAGCTTTTAACACACAATGAACCTGACCCTTCAGGATGTTACTCTATACGTGCTTAATATTGAAAGAAGAAAAATCATAAATTGCCTCAGAGTTGGGGGGGTTTTTGGATTTATTTTTCCTTCTTCAACCTTCTTCCCATCTGCTGTGACCTCCAGGAGCAAGTATTTTACTTCACACAAAGAGATCAGTGTATGTGTATGGATAAACTGTACATAGTTTTACGCAAGTAGTCCCCTGAAAAGATGTGGGTCAGCAAGGTCTGAGGAGTTTCCTTTTTTAGTAAAAATAATAATGCAAATCTTGAGACTATAAATGTAGAGCAATCGGAGTTTAATTCTCTGCTTATTCAGTGCGTGCTCTCTCTCATGCTGCAGTGTAGGGCTGTATTAGAGCTGCCAGCATGGAGTGAGTACCTGAGAGATCAGGATCTGTGCAGTGAGACCTCAGGTGGTTGTGCAAATGGTAAGAGGTTCTGTTGGCCAACATGTCAAGAAGGGCTTTAATTCACATCTGGATAGAGGATAGGTAGAAAGCAAAGGATAAAGGCCGAACCTGAGCTAGCATTCAAAATCTCATAATATGGTGCAACTATCTCTAGTTTCATGTATAGTACTTTTTCACATGTATCCAAGAGGGGTAAAAACACAGGACTCTTATTTTCAGTCCACACATGGCTAGGCTTGCAGTCTGGGGTTGCAACCCAGGGATTGGAATTTGCACTTTCTTCAAAAATGCAGTTTTGAGTTAATGCTTTATTTATAAAGTTTCTCTAGAAAGTCCTTTCATACATGTTTTGGAATTTTTGTTGGCATTTTTTTCATGGTTAAAATAACAGTGTTTTCTGGGAATTTGTTTCAGGGAGGGTGGTGGTGGTTAACATTTAAATATATACCGTGCTTATCGCCGCTCTTCTTCTGTTTTGACTTAGATTGCACATACCTGACCATGTTAATCTAAGGTTATTCCCATCATTCTTGTTAAGATTTAACTTAGTTAAAACTATTCTTGTTTTAACAGAGATCATTCACTAATAATGATTAACATACTTCTAGCAAAGCTTAAGTACATCAAATACCAGTGGTTACCTCCAAGAGACTGCGAATTCAAAACAATTTTAAGCGTTAAATGTTAGAAAAAGAGAAAACATGATAATGTACATTGCAGAAATGTCTTTGCATTACTATGTTACTTTTTTCTTCTGAAGTTAGCATAATCTAGAGTCTGTTTTTCAAACTTCTCAGAAGTCAAAGGGAAGGATATCAGCTTGCAATACGACTCTTTATATGAATCAGGGAAAGCATGCAGAACATTCCAGTAAGGAAGGATTTGAAGAAGTCTTGAGTAGCTAAATCCAGAGGATTCAGAAGTAATACAAGCTTTCTTTATGCATTATTCTGTTTTTTATCTACTATTTTCAGAAAAACACTCTTAAGTTTCCGTAATGTAACTTTACACATTATGGAAAGACTTAAGAAAGTTTTATTGCATGTATAACTTGTGATATTATTCTTTGTCCCCATTTTTTGCTTTTAATATGCCTGATGATCAACCTGGGATGCCACTGCAGATTCAGCAAAGAAAATACCTAAGTTTCTATAAATGGAACTACAAGAAAGCATTTGTTATAGTTTGACCCTTTGCCCTAAAATACTGCCTGGCTGCTCTAAGTATTAAAACATTTCCTAAGTTTGAGTGACTTACATTGTTTTGCCTCATCCAGTATAAGATGGAGCTGAAATTCATTTCCCTGGGATAGACAGTTGTGTTTAATCAAGTTTTCTGTTTAAAGGTATAGCTGAAAGGCAGAGCAGAAATAGAACCATAGAATCACAGAATATCCCAACTTGGAAAGAGCCCATGAGGATCAAGTCCAACTCCTAGCCTGTTAACTGTATAGTATCTTCCTGGTTTGCAGTAATGCCCTATTGTATTCCAACCCAACAGCAATACAGATGTGCACACGGTGGCATCACTGCTGAAGCTGTACCTAAGGGAACTCCCAGAGCCAGTCATACCGTATGCAAAATATGAAGATTTTCTTTCCTGTGCCAAAATGCTCAGCAAGGAAGAAGAAATGGTGAGTCTGCATGTTGCGTATGATGAATAAAAAGATTGGTATGTTATAACCTGTTCCAGTTTTGAGGAATGGAGATGCAAGTAATTACATATCCTAATTTAAACTTGTTTGTGTTAACTGCGACTCTCTTTAAAGGAAAATTGTTGCTACCCATGTTAGGCTCAGCATGCCCTTTGCTATATTTATTGCATATCATCAAATTCAGTCCAAATGAACATCACTGTGGCCAGTAACTTCCATGTTGCCTGGGAAACATTTTATCTTTTCACAGATCATCCTCCTCAGCTGTAATTGGGATGATTTTAGTAGTTTGTGTTCAACTTGTGCTGTTAAATCAGAGGTGATTTTCTTCTAAGTGTTCTAGGATGCCACATTTCACTGACTTTAGACTAAAAACCACAGGGCTCTATTCATTGCCTATCACTGAATCAGAAGCATCAGAAAGATGTCTGGAAGTGGGCAACCATCCAAAACTTTTTAAAATTTGCATAACATAGATGAACTCACTATGGGTTCTGAAGTACAATAAGTGCCCTGCAGTGGCACAGGACTGTACCCTTGTATTAGTCTGAAGAAGTAATAAATGAGGCTTGGTTTTTACACTGCTACATGTGCTTATGGGTTATCAAGTCAACACAATGTTTTCCAAGTAAAAATAAAGAAGCTCATTTTTTTGATTGCAGTCTATTCTTCTAAATTTCTAAGGTTATTATAACTGTTTAATTCCATTTTGACTTTTCAAATCCTGCTAGAACTGGAACTCTCCTTTTCCTTAACGCTCCAGTTAACAGAGAGGAGAATGAATCCCCCCCATTCCAACCATCTCCAATTGCAGTTTCTTTGATGTGTTTATTGTCTTGTAACCGAAACTGTCAGCATTTTTCAGTGGCAAAATACTAAGAAACTCTGCCTCCCCACTTTGTTTTTAACCACATATATAGGGCCTGATAGAATTAGTGAAGCAAGTGAAGAGCCTGCCGGCTGTCAATTACAATCTGCTGAAATACATCTGTAGGTAAGTGCTCTTGCAAGAACATCAGAGTGATATTTATAGCTGTTAGCTGACAGAGAAATTTGTTTGCATATGGACCCTGAAGGAAAAGTATTACAGATCTGGAGGAGTGGTTAACTTCAGTGATTGCACTAAAAACTTGCTTACTGCACTCATTTCTAATTTACTTTATCAAGATGCAGAGATATGAGGTGCCTTAATAAGCAAGCTGCCAAAAGTACAGAAGTGGAAATATAGGTCCTCTTCCTAGGACACAGTTTTCCCATTTATAATTGCAGTTATTGGCCTTAGCTGTGCACTCCTGAGGCATGGTAGCACTGAAAACTGCATGCATCTGGTAGAATAGTTTTGTAGAAACATGCAAGATCTTAAAAACGTGTCTTAAAAGGTAGCAAAGTGTGTACTTAAAGGATGTTCTCAGCATAGGAAACATTTGAAAATGAATTTAAACTTCTCCTAGTTGAGAATTTGCATTTTGAGGATATTTTATGAGCCAAATAACTGATTGCGTATGTTAGAGAAAGTCACTGTCTTCACAGAGTTATATTAAAATTAGACAGAGAGATATTTTTTTATCAGTGTGTCATTTTTAAGAAAATTTTAAGACACTGAGTATAACCTTGAGCTTCCAAAACATTCCTTCACAATTTAGAATGGAATACTCTACATTAAGAAACCATTGTATGTTTTGAGTATTTTTTTTTCTTTCCTTCCTTTTAAAATGTTCATTAAAGGCATATTTCTTCCTCACAGATTCCTGGATGAAGTCCAGTCTTATTCAGGCATAAACAAAATGAGCGTGCAAAATCTGGCTACTGTTTTTGGCCCCAATATCCTCCGCCCTAAAGTGGAAGATCCTTTGACTATCATGGAGGGTGAGTTGACTGTAAATAACTTGAAGGAGAAAGAAAGAATATCTTTAGGTTTATTAACAGTATGTACTAATCCATGTGGTATATACACTACATTCTATATCTGTTTTAAAGATGCAGAACTCTTCAGTGTGGATAGACAGCTGGGATAAATCTTCCAAGATACTGTAAAAATGACTACAGTTTATAGCATTGCAAACAGACCTTGCATGAAATTGTGCTGCCTTGGCAGCTTAATTAAAAACCCCTCTACATTTGCTCCAAATATGGCGTGTTCTTTCCCAGCACGTGTGGGATAAGTGCAGTTAACTGCATCACCTGCAGTTTTTCACGGTCAGATACGTTTTTATAGATTCGTATTGCAGTGGCCCATCATTCTCCATAAACTCTCATGATGTCTTTTCTCTCTCCAAACACTTGTTTCTTGATATGTTAGATTTAGTTAACTTACCCAGAAATAAGAGCTGCAAACAGTCCTTGCACTGTACATTGTATCAAAAACTTGTAGCTTGTTTATTTGGGATTGTGTGAATTTGTTTTCCTTTGAATATGATGTTTTTTCTTTTTTCCAGATAATTTTAATTCCACATGGACTTTGTTCATTTACTGTTTTATTCCCTTCTTCTGAAACTTTATGTTTCATCCTCATTCTATTGTAAATGGACAGAAATGTAGTGTTTCCAAGTCGCATAATGAAAGAGTACAAAAATATTTCTAATTGTTCATTGGATTGAAAATACAGGGAAGTATCATAAAGATGACTTTCATACTGGAGTCAGTGAGAATCTCGCTGAGGCTGAGACCCTCAACCTGTCATACCTCCCAGGATGGCATTTACTGCTGGGATACCGTGTATCTTCAGCCCACCTGGAAAAAAGGAGCCAAATCAAGATTTGGGACGGGATGAGAGTAGTTAGCTAGTCAAAAAGGAAAAAAAGAAGTTATCCTCTGAGTCTGTATTTTTTCAGAACTGGCTACTGCCAGTATTTTATGTGAAAGCTTAAACAAGAAAGATGTTTTAAGTGGGTGGAAATGGAAAATACTGATTTTTTTTTTTAAGTCTGAAAACATCTCCAGACCGCTTCTCAACAGCCCACAAGCTTAGTGGCTGCTTTAGGAGGTGGCATGCATACTATGCTCATTGAAGGGAAATAGTATATATTTTTTTCACTCGAGGAAACAGTCTTAATTAATCAGATTTATGACTTCTCTTACTTCTCTTATAGAAGTAAGCCTTTTAGATTTGACATGGGCTGTGCTGATGTGCAACTGGGCTGCACATAGTTAAATATGTGGAATCTTTGTTAACAAAGACTACACATTGAATAGTGTCTCTGCCCAGCCTTCCTCACTGCTCTTTGATTTTTGGAAGAGAAAGCTTGACAATGAAAAGTGCTCTTCTTGCACAGTCTTTCAAAGCCAAGCATGAAGCTATGTGCAGCTGTATCTGTATAATGTGGATGAAAAGTTGTTTTGTCTAGTTCAAGTGAGATTTTCCTGATTTCCAATTACAGACTAATTTGAATAATCTCTTCGTAGTTGTATTTTAAAAGGCTAGGTTATAAAGATCCGGAATATTTCAAAAGAGTTGATATGGCACAATAGGAAATTCTTGATTAAAAGGGCACAGCCTGCCTTTGAAAGCACTCTAGGAGTTTAAAGATAGGATGGTTGTTATAAATACTCTGACCTTGCTCCTGAGAGTACTTAGTGAGATTCAGTTTAAAGAAATGTTGTATGTCTTCATTACCTTAAGTCCAGTTAGAAATGGTAGCGTGTAAATTGTGCAGTCGAGCAGTGTGCACACCAAGGTGTTATTAGAGAGGCAGCCATTTATTAGAGATACTCTGAAGTTGTGGTGCTGCGTTAGTTCCATACTGTGCCATAACATGACACAGTTGCCTGTTTGCATATAGTTTAACTACAGACAGGTTAAAAGCATTCACATGAAATAAATTCTGTCACATTATTACCCTAAAATGTTGTCAATCCAGCAGTGCAAATCCCTTGCCTGCCACTTTTCTTTTAAACTACTGCATGAAAGTGCTTTGCCAGAAGGGGACTTTAGTTTTAAAAGTGATTGCCACAATGAGTTGAAGCACATTGCTTATAATGATATTATCGTTTGCTGCTCATAAACACCTTCTATAGTATTCTGGGGATGTAAAAACTGTCATGGCAATAGCTTCTTTGCAAAAAAATTGCTGTTATTATGGGGGTCTGTGAGGCATGCTGGTTTGTTCTGATGGAAAGAAGAGGTGGTGCTGATCTGACCTGGTACCCAGATGCATTTTGGACACCTTAAACATCCAGGGTGTTAAACTGGTGGTCATTTTGGGTAAAAAAACTGTGGTCATTTTGGGTAAATGTTTCTATAAATAGGATTTTTGCTAAGTATTTGTGGAATATGAGCCATTAAGTTTATTTATGCCCCAAACAGATCATTAATTACCATGTGCTTGCTTGGTACCTTCTTTCAGGTACGGTAGTAGTCCAGCAGTTAATGTCAGTGATGATAAGCAAACACGAAGAGCTGTTTCCCAAGGATGCAGACCCTGATGTGGGACCCGAGGTGTGCAACAATAACAATGAAATGCCAAAGAAAGCAATCGTTGGACAGCTACAAAACAAAGAGAACAACAACACAAAGGAGACAGCAGTGAGGCGCTGCTCTTGGGATAAACCTGAGTCTCCCCAAAGGGGAAGCATGGACAATGAGTCTCCAACTGCGCTGCCAGGCAGCAAGACCAATAGCCCTAGAAACAGTATCCAGAAATTAGATGTCACCAGAAGCCCACCACTCATGGTAAAAAAAAATCCTGCTTTTAATAAAGGCAGTGGCATAGTCACCAATGGGTCGTTCAGCAGCTCTGTGGAGAGCCATGAGAAGAGCCAGACCTTACCAAACTGTACCCTGCAAGCCAGGAGAACATCCTCCCTGAAAGGACCGGTGACTAAGATGGGCACACAAAGCATGCAGAATGGAGGCGTGAGGATGGGAGTTTCTAGCACCGATGGGCTCACCAACACCCTCAACAACCGGAGCCCAGGCTGGGCACCCAATGGCTGTGTCACTCTGAGGGACAACAAGCAGAAGGAATCAGTGAGTGAGTCGGGTCAGCACAACAGGCTCTCCACCTATGACAATGTCCACCAGCAGTTCTCCACAGTGAACTCTGATGACAAACAGAGTGTGGACAGTGCTACCTGGTCAACGTCCTCCTGTGAAATATCCCTCCCTGAGCACTCCAACTCCTGTCGTTCGTCCACCACCACCTGCCCTGAGCAGGACTTCTTTGCGGGTAACTTTGAAGACTCTGTGCTGGATGGACCACCACAGGAAGACCTCTCTAACACTGGTGACTATGAGAACAGAAGTGACCGAAGGAGTGTAGGGGGCCACAGCAGCAGAGCCACCAGCAGCAGTGATAACAGTGAAACGTTCGTTGCCAACAGTACTAATAATCATAGCGCTCTGCACAGCCTGGTGTCCAGCTTGAAGCAAGAGATGGCCAAACAAAAAGTCGAGTATGAGACAAGGATAAAAAGGTAAGATGGTGCGATGTTACCATCTCATTGTCTTTCAGAGCTGACATGTGAAATTGCTCTTCTAGTATCATGATTCAACTAGGTTTGTTGCAAAGCGATCATTTGCCACAGTTGTGACATACAGTCCTAATGGCACCAGAAATAAATCCAGAACCTTACAAGTTTCTTTGGAATCTAACTAACGAAATCAGTAGCTTCTATAGTGATTTTATTAGTTGATGCCTGCTCTCTAGAGGCTGAGACTTTCAATGAAATCAGTGTCTTAGATCACTCTAAGTAGTTTTTGAGTTTTTGAGACTGTCAGACTATTCTTGTAAATAGATTTAAATCAGCTGATAAAAATTAATGGTTAACTTAACAGTTATTAAATAAAGGGATTCAGAGCATTATTTTGACTTTTTAAATGACACAACTGCAACTACAGTGGGAGCTGGGAATCAGTACTTGCAGGAGTAAAAGACTTCCCTAGGTTGCTTGCTAGAGAATTGAGTGGAGCTGGTTGTCACTGTGCACAATAACCAGTGGCTGGTATCGTGCATTTTCTAAATGAGCTACAGAGTAGAGAAGGCCATTTGGGGATGGATCGCTGATGAAACTGTGGTTTGTAGGTAAACTTCTAAGAAATTCAATCTAAGCTTTGTAAATGAAAATGCAATTGCATGAAATTGTGATGCATTTCTACACAACTGAATGGGAGGGGTGCTGTTCAGAAGCTGTCTGCTTTTATTTTGGTTTCTGCAGCTTGGAACAGAGAAATCTCACCCTGGAGACAGAGATGATAGCCCTGCATGAAGAGCTGGATCAAGAGCGGAAGAAGTTCACAATGGTGGAAATCAAAATGCGTAATGCAGAACGAGCCAAAGAGGATGCAGAGAAGAGGAACGACATGCTGCAGAAGGAAATGGAGCAGTTTTTCTCTACTTTTGGAGAACTGACAGTGGAGCCTCGCCGACCAGAAAGGGGCAACACCATCTGGATCCAGTGAGCATTGGAGGCTTTGACTGTGGGACGCTGGGAAAGGGCTTAGGGGTATTATACTGCGTCAGGTGGCTGGTCACCTGTCTGTCTGAGGCTAGCACTCAACATAACGTTATAGACTCTTGAAGGAAGAAATCATACATGTTAACCACTCATATCTACAGTGTGTACTTATCAAGTCATACTCTTTGGATGCTTCATGAGACTACTGTCAAGTGTTACAACTGGATATGTGTATATAAATTTAAAAAAAAAAAAAACACAAACATCTTAGAGAGTGAGAGATGTATCTCAAGAAATATTTTAATTCAAGTCTTGTATTTAAACTGGTAAATTGAAATGTTGTTGCAATCAAGCTTTATATCAAGGCTTTTCTCCCTTGCACTTAACATAAGCTATTTTTGACATTGTGTTACCATCAGCTTATTTTGTATATCAAATGTTTTTTTTGTTTTGTTTTGTTCCTCCCTCTTGCTGGGGAGTGAAGATAAACAGATACATAAAGGTACATGTGCCAATGGTTAGCACTAGTCTGCGTCGCTTTTGAAAAAGAGAGCTGGATGAGAAGGAGCAGCATGCTGGGGATGGCAAATGGGGCACTAATTTAAAAGAACTAATGACCTGACTAGAAATTACCAGAGTTCTCGTATCAAATACCCTACAAGGATATCACCAACATTGAGCAGTTAGTATTCAAAGGACAGAGAGGTGCCTGTTTGAGAGGAAATGTAATGGTAAAGAGTAAGAAGTGGGAGAAGGGGCAACTCAAAGAGAAGTTGATCGATAGAGCCATAGCTGTTTGGGGTACTCTAGCACATCCTTGTGGTTACTGCAGCTCAGAACAGGGTTATAAACCGTGCTCTGACCACTGTTATGAATGAATTACCTCAGTACCACAGGAGAATGGAGTCCTTTCTGTAAGTCTGGCAAAGGGACACAGAGGAACACACTGTACATCTTGACTGCCTTAGCAGTGTGATGGGTGCTAAGCAAAACAAAACAAAACACAGACCTGCAGAACTGATGAGCAGAGAAGAAATTAGCAAGGCAACTGTATTACAAGCTGCAAATAAGGAAGAACACATTAACCACCCATATTTACAGTGCATATTGACCAGCTAAGCTTTCTGAGTTGAGAGTTCTGTGAAGTGGAAACTCTCAGGATCATAACATCATCAAGGGAACAGCCAGAGGAACTGCCTGCAGGGTGCCAACAAAAAGCAGCCAAGCTGCGCAGTGAAAGGCCAGCCTGTTGGGAAATGTATGCATAGTAGGTGTAACTGATGTTTCCTATACCATCCCCAAGATCTTTTTTGTTTTTATCTTTGTGTTTAAGACTGTGAGTTGCATCTTCAAGGGTGTTAAGACATCTTGGCTTCCCTCTACTGTCACTCAAATGTATTGCAATTATCGCTGACCCCCAATTGAGATGTAAGAATGTAGCCTCAAAGAGGTGCTCTCTGCAGCATGTACATTAGATAAATACTAATTAGATGTGGTAAATATACAGGGAAACAAATATGAGGTTTACATTTCAGGAAAATAACAACTTAGAGTGGAGCATTACACATGGTGTTCGTGGAACAATTATTTGTGTTATCTTGGGTTCAGAGACCCAAGTTAGGACGGTAATTACTGTAAACATGTCTAGTGTACATCCAGTCTGGATGCAAATGAGAAAAAGTAAGACAGAAATCAAGGTAATAGGAAGTGGAATGTTTTGTGTTGGCTAGCCACAATCACAAATGTTGGCGCAAATGGTGAGAGAAGGAAATTGTTTACTGTGTTAATTCTGATTTTTAAATTGAGTGAGAAAGACCGTGGTATCTGATGTGGGCCTCACAGTCAGCTCAGGCTCCTGTTTAGCCCTGCTCATTTTGATGCTGGTTCCTGGATAAATTTGAAACCTTTCTTACTGCTGCTGTGATCTACTCCTGTACTCTATTTCTTAGTATTCCTATCACTCAGCTCATGCCATGCTTATCTGTTTCTTGGAGCTGAACCTGCACGGAGCTTTTTTTTTGGGCTAAGCTGTCTTGTGGTTGAGGACCCTGTATTGGTTCAATAAAATATCAGACAAGTTCACTGCAGCTATGCCATTTAAAATCAACTCAATCTGTGCTGAACCATATTCTTCCAAGTATCTTTGAATGACTTTTGGAAACTTGTGTTAGGCAGAATCTGTTTTTGTCCAGGTTTGAAGCTTGTCTTCACCTTTGGAAAGATATTCCAGTAACTGTTGTTCCTCAAGAAATTTTCTGTTTCCAGCTATGTGGCTAAGTGCTGGTGTCTTTCATTTCTTGCAATGTAGTCCAGGACATCAAAGCTTCACTTCATTCTCTGTGCAGAAATTATCTAGGCAGACTAGGAAAATTAAGCAGGCACAGTGAACATGGAAAATATTACCAATAACATTTGTGTAATTGATCCACAATGCCATCAATTCATGATCAATTCATAGCATCACACCTTTCTCCTTCGTGTGAAGCTTCATTAGCATTTTGGCTGTTGTGAGGAAGTTGATTTGTATCTTTAACATTCATCATGATGCTCCTATTATCGTCCTGCTGCTTCAGATCAAAAGCACACATTTCAGAACTGTTTCTTACATTGAGAAGCAAGGAACACAGTACTTTTCTTCCAACATTTGACATGAGTTGACATGGTTGGCAGAAGCAGTGCTGGGAGAGCGTGATAATGGATGTAGGTGGCCAAAGGACATGCAGTGGAGTGGAAGCAAGGCATTCAGAGGACTGAGGTCAAAGGTTTTAGAGCACAAAGGCTCTAAAAACAACCACAGTAATTTCATACAGAGTACTTGTTGACTGGTGGTTATCATACAGAAGCAATTCTTCCAGGAAAATTGGTATCAAGGTACTGAGTGAAACTGAGGCTTCAGCCAAGATAATCCATTTTGTCATCTGCCTGTAACAGAATGAGTCATGTTCTAAGGCCAAGCTGACAGTGTTACCTGACATGAGAGTGCACTCAGATTTTCAGCTATCAGTTATGAGATGGTATAATGGTCATTTGCTCTCACCTCTGTCTTGCTGTATTTCTGTGCACTTCCCATATTAATAATCTGTTTGTGGGAGTTCAGTATTCAGCTCCAAGCTGGGAGTGCAGCAAGCAGTTCAGCCTGTCTAGCCCAGTGCCACTCTTTGTCTCTCCTTCACTGTGCAATAGGCAATGCTTTTACAGTTCATCAGCACAGGCTGCAGAAAAAATTCCTCCTATGAGCTAATGACCTTCTGCTCCAATCATAGGGGATGACTGCATTACATTACATTCATTAGTGTAAGTTCAGAGCAGTACAGACATAAAAGCAGGCTACCAGAATGCTTCAATCAATGGGCATAGTAAGAGACAGAACCAGGTTGGTGCTGTAATCTCATCTCCAGCCCCCACCAGAAAACAGCAGCGGGTGATGTTGCCCTACACAAGTTTGCTGAATGAACCAGATTGGTAGCAGATGCTCACAGTACCTTATAAATGCTGGATTCTCTTGTGCTCAGAATGGCTTCTGCCTTCCTTTCTGTTTGTAAGAATCCCTTTTTGGAGTGTGCTCTGGCATAGCAGGATAATTAAGCTTAATTTTCTTCTTGGCTAAACGTTTTTTTCAATGTCTCAGAGAGAGTTTTTTGCAAATATTAAAATTAATGCATAAAAGATTTTCTGTTAAATGATATGCAAAGCAGGTATTTTAGGTTTTCATAAGAATGTAGAGGAGAGGAACTTCATGAGATTATTGCTGAAAGGTCTGTGAACAGTATTTTATCCAGTAGCGAAGTCTACAGTAGTTGAGAAATATCCAACTTGCTAGAAAGAATGAATATTTTCTGGGCTGTGTATATGTGGGGGGGAAGGTGGGAGAAAAGATAAGAGCACAGGCACTTCTGATGTGGACGTGTAAAAATGTAGTAAACAGGAGAGAGGAGAACAAGGGAGCAAATAGACATGAAATTGCTGTGTGTAGGCAATAGACATGTGCCCTCGGTTAATAGCATTTCTTCTGAAAGCTCATCTCTACAGAAAGGTTACCAAAGTTAACGTTGCACTGTTTTTTTCTGAGTTTTTTTTGGCTCTAAATTACTTTCTGTGCAGACACCACTAGCCAGACTGTTTCACAGACCGCCCTCCTGACTGCTGGCAGCCCCCCATGCTAACGCTGAGGGTTGATGAGGAGAACTATGTAGCAGAGCAGGTGCCTGCAAAGCAGGGAGCCTCAGGAGGTCAGGGCAGCACAGCTCTGGGGGCTGCTAATGGCTCCCAGACCATCCTTCAGCATCTCCAGACCAGCAATTCTCAGCAAATAAAATTATATGCAGCAGATGCCTTGTTGATGCCAACTGCCATGATTCTACAGAGGCTTGGGAAGTGATGACAGCAGCAAAGGTCATGTTCCTACTTGGCTTTTAGGTGCTGTTATAATGCATGTATTCGCTGCTAGTGATGGTAGTCTATCTAGTTCTGCCAAAATGCTTGTCAGCACCAAACAAGTAGCATGTCAATAATAGTAGAGTGCAGAAAATTTGAAGCCAGAAAAATGAGTGTGATGCAAATCTGTTTCCCTTTTTTTTCCTCCAAGGAATGCAGGATAATGAATTTTGCCTGCAATACAACTTCATTTATGAATCTCCTGAATGTGAGAATGGAAAATCCTCTCTGCTTCTGTATTCTTCTCTTCATGCTAAAGAGGTTTAAAATGATTTATATTCAGCAGGACTTTACTGGATTTGAATCTGTGATGTTAGAATACTATTATGAGCATGGCTATAATTCCTAACTGTAAGGCAAGCAGGAAGGGACTTGGCTTGAGACCAAATGGGTATCTCTGAGCAGCAGTATTTCCTGTTGTTCAGATACAGATGGCACTCTTTGTTTTCTGGTCATAGCCGTTAACTGTAACAATTAGATAAATTTATGGCTTTATTTTTTGTTCCCCTCTTTTGTTAGGGTCAGATTGCTGAATCGTAATCTATAGTTCAGTTCAGTAGAAATAATGGCTACTGTTGTTCAAAGCAGTGTTTGCAAATGAGTTTTGCATACTTCATAGCAAAAAGTGCTCTCTCAGTGCTCTGTCTCAGCACTGCTATGATTGATTCTGTTATTATATCAGACATGTCAGTGGATGGTAGTTTTAACAGCACCTTCTTTATACTGGGCTGAACTACAGCACCTTGGTTTTGGCAAAATGGGAGGATTGTTGGAGTGAGATTTAAAGATCCTTATGGTTCCCTTCCAACTCATTATGTGATTGTATGATGTGGTGCTACCTCTTCCTGTAGCCACTTTTAACCCAGACTCAGCACTGTGGTGAGGTTTTACTTAATTCATTCTTGCAAATGTGCATTTTGTGTTATACCCAGAGCTCACTTGGGAAGGTGTGTGAAACAGCTTCAGATTCATACCTGTCTGGTTCCCATGTGTAGACATGCCCTAATAGTACATGTGGGTAATGAAGGAGGTATTTGTATAATTTAGTATTAATAGTGAATATATCGCAGTTGACTTAATTGGTATTTGTCTGTCTGGCTGAAGGGACTTACATCAAGGGAAGATATAATGGAAAGTGAGCAGGGTATGAACCATGACAAAAATGAAGCATCTCTGGAGGCAATTCCACAGGCCATAAGGAGAACAGTTCATAAACTACTCATTCCTCTGTTCCTGTGCTGCCAGCCAATACTCGAGATCAAAAGCACACTCAGTAGCATAAACCTTGCCTGATGAGGAACGAGGTGGAGCACTGCTATGGGACTGAGGCAGGGGGACGTACTGAGCAAAGATGGACAGCTGTCTATGCAGGGAGCCAGCAGGAGTCTGCTGCAGCAGGGCCTACTGTTTTGGTGCAGACTGCCAATTCCTGCTATTCCAGCTATTCCTTCTAGTTCCACTCAGACAAGATGAAGGTAGTGGTTAAGGTGGGACTGCCCTTCTCACGGAGCTGAGGGGATAGCTGTGGGAGCCAGAATCTGAGGCTAGCTGGTCAGGTTGGGAGGTCTAAACATTGTTCAGGGAACATGTAGTGGTCATAACACTGCTCCCTGCACAGCACAACCATGCGTATCATTCTTCTGGAAACTCAGCAGACAAACCAAGAGCTGTGGTTGCCCAAGCTGGCTGCACTCCTCCTGTTCTCTGTGCCAACACACACGTAACTGCAATCAGCTGTGGGGATGCCTCGGTCCTGGAGCTGTGCCCTGCTCCTGAGCCAGGACGGTTTACTACCTGGAGGATCACTTTCAGGTTTGGTTTAAGGTGCTGCTGAGTTTAAACCAGCGTTCTGCAGGTAAAAAGCAAAAAGGGTTGGTCTGGCTGTTCTTCCATGGACACAAAACTTTAGCATGTGGGGCTTAAACATTCTGATGGTTGGGTCAAAGCAATTTTCACCATTACACTGGGGAAGTGGACTGAGAGAGGTCAAAAGAATTTATATGGGAACTTTGAAATCAGAATCATGTTTCTGTCTGCCAGAAATGTTTCTATGATAGCTGTGGGGAGCTGAGGAGAAATCCTCAGTTCTCGGAAGTGAATTATCTGATAGAACAAGGTTTATACACGTTCAGTCTAGGGAAACTTTCATCTTGACTACATGCACATTAGAGGTAAGTGGTGACAGCAGGTGCTGTGGATTCCCAGTGTGACAGCTTTTTGTTTCCTGACAAATAGGCTATGCACAATTTTTAAGAGAATTTAAATTATTTGTGTTTTACTTCTGTGTTGAGTTCTACTGTTAGGCAAAAGGCGGAAAAGAAAAAAAAAAAAAAAGAAAACTCAGCTGTGGTATCTTTGCATGGGCCTAGATACGCCCTCTGTTTTGTGCAAACTTGTAATTCCAGTGCGCTGTAATAGAACCATAATGACATGTTGAAACATGCCTTGGGCAAGTCATGCTTCTCAGTACGCTGGTCCTGGCTTTCAATACTTTAATTAATCTAGATGTTACTGTGAGGAGCCAAATACACTGCAACTCACAAATGCAATAAAAAGTCACAGGTTGGAAGGAGATTAACGCCCGTGTTGATGAATGGACATAAAAATAATAGTTGCAAATACTGATTTCCTCCTTAGGAATAAAAAAAAAAAAAAAAAAAAGGAAAATAATGGGTTGTGACCATTAGGTATGAATTTTGCATTGATTTTGAAATAAACTCTTCAGAAGAGGGATACAGAGTAAGTAGGTGTGCATTGAGCACTGAAGAACACATCAGCAGAATGACTTTGATTTGGGCTGGGAAGATGGAGTCAAACCAAGAGCAAGGTTTTGGTTGAGCAGTAAAATTCTGCTAGTAAAATACAGTGGGGTTTGAAAATGAAGAGATAAGAGGTTGAATGGAAGCACAGGTTTCCCTAATTTACACAGGGCCTGACTCAATTTTCTAAGGATTTATTTAGGGTCCAGGGTGGACTACAACCAACATTCCCTCACAGGGAGAAGATTTCAGTCCGGCACCAGCATGCAGCATGAAAAACTGCAAGAGAACAGAATTTCTGTCTTGTTACCTGCAAACTGAATTTAATTCATTCAGCACACAACTCATGCAGTCAACAGATGCACACTGACAATGTGCATGTAAAAACATCCAACAAACTCAAAAGAAATAAGATATTAGAGAATGGTTTACAATAAACTTAGGTTGGAGGGCAGGAGTGAGAGCCCAGCACTGCTGTATTGCAGAAGGCAGTGACACAACACATGCAGAGCACTCCTCTATCATTTCCTATGCAGCAGCTATGTGCTTCTGGGAGGAATGACTACTCATTTCTATTCAACAGATGAATGACAGTTTAAGTTCATAAATTGCTGATCCTAAATCTTTTGCTGGCTCCTCTCTTTTAAACTTTCTACCTTTTAGGCAAGACCCAGGACCAATCCTGCCACAGTTCTTTCTGCTTGTTGTTTCATCTCTAGATAAGGTAGTAGATCATGGGGAAATCAAGAACAGAGCTGAACATTGTGCTCTTGGGTGTCATGCTGGCTTTGCTAAAGACATTATTACAATTACTTTCCTGAAGATGTTTTAATTCATCTACCTAGAACTTGTGTAGACATACGTGTATTGTAAAAAAAAAAAAAAAAGAGCCAAACAAAAACATCACAGACCTTTTTTCAAAGCATAGCTCTTGATCCATTTCGCAGAAAACACAGTGAAAAGATTGAGATGCCACCCTTGTAAACATGCCATGCTTCAAACTGCAATAGCATGATGTGTCCATCTTGCCCCTATATAATGAAAAACCTTGAAGGATTTAGCATATGTTACAGTGAATTTCATTTGTGTCTCAAATATAGAATATGCACAGAGATGAGCAGACTTATTTTTTTTCCAGGTCTACCTCACTGTGTACCTACCTGCTGAACCTGCAGGCTCCCATGCAGCAATCTTCATGGTTTGCATTGCTAGAAAGTCTACTTCAGTCTGAATGATTTACTATGTAATCAGACTGACTATTTAATTGTTTAAAGTGTCTCTAGTAATCTCAGTTCACAAGGGCAGCAGCTATGCAGAAAATACAGGACAATTCCTCTTATCTGCCTTCAGTATATGTTCTACAATCAATTGCAATCAAAGTCAGGTGATACGGAAACACAAACGCTAAGCCTTCTAGGCTGTAAAACCAACTCTCCCTTCTGTCTCCTCTGGAAAACAAGCCAGGCGTATCTGTGTGTCACACTGCACAATCTGGTAAAACAGCCCTTTTAAACTCAGCTTGTAAGATATAGCTCTTAAATCAGGTGCATACAGGGCTGTCAAGCCAAACTAAAAGCCTGCTAACTGGTAGTGCCCATAAATGCAGAACAGAAAAGAATCTGTTTCACTTCTATCAGGGGCTGGGTAGAGACACCAAGCAACTAAATGTCAAGGAAGCTTGCTTCCTACCTTGGGAAAGTGGCAGTTCCTCACAAGGCAAACCCTTTTTCCTCTTGATGAAGGTAAGGATAAATTCTGTCCTCAAGGCAAATTCCAAATGTGCTATTCCTTTTTGGCTCTATAAGAGGAAGGACATCTTGGAGGTCATCACTGGAGATTGACTTCACACTTGGCAATAGCCTTTTTATCCTTGTAAAATTTCCTCTTGGACAATTCTAATTCCTCCTGGATTACTGATACTCACTGCTAGAATCTTCCCAGACTTCTTTTTACTTACAAATTCCAATGCTCTGTTAGATTTTCTGCAGAGTATGAGTCGCTCAGACCAAGCAAGGATGAAAACAAATTGCAGAGAATGATTTAATGCTAAAAATAAAAGTAGCTGCAGAATAAAAATATAAACAATAAAATAATAAAAATAAGCAAATATAAACAAATCCAGGAAATAGATGTTTGAATAAAGCCTGAATTTCTGAGCTCTTGGCAAGAATTGACATGCTCTACTGAAATTATGTGAGTACATCTTCAGGCTACCAATAGCTTCCTTAAAACAAACAAATGTAATAATAATAATTAAAATGAAAAAAAAAAAAAAGGCAGCTCTGTCTTTAGATTCTTTACCACCTCCAATTCCAGTGTTAGCTTCTAGTACTGAATGCCATTACCTGGCACATAAAATAAGCTCAGTGTGGGAATTGCTAGTTTTCTAAAGCAATAAAGCAAAAGAAAAGGTTGCTTTTACCATCTTAAATCTCAGTAAAAAATTCTACTTTCATGATTAACATACAGAACAGAAAGGGATTCAAGCTTTAAGATATTATTTTGAGATGGAGGAGTTAAAACTTAAAGAAAAATTTGTGTAAGCATCTGATGCCTCCTTGCTACATTGCAAACTCCAAACAATTTTCAGTGCAATCTGTGAGGCTTGTGGATTCTCCAGAACAAAACCCCAACTTCTTCGAGAAAGAATGAGGTTGAAGAGAAGGAAGGAGGAGTGGGGCTTACCACAGGCTGTGAGCCTCTCATCCAGAGTCTTGAATCACTGCCTACACACTGAGTACATTGTTGGCCTTTTAAACTGGTGTTATGTAAATACATCATGTTATATTTATCTTAAGCTGCTGCAGTCTATAAATATTCCAGTGTCTGCTCCATTTTTATGAATGTAAGGAAGAACCATGTTGCATTAGTGGTGGTTACATTTTCAATCACAGATGAGGAAGAACCTCAAGGGACACTTAAAAGCATGGAGGATATTAAACATCAAATAAGCAAAAAATCCTGAGGCTTAAAGAAGGAAAATAACCAGTTTTAAAGGGAAGACTGCAGGTAACCAACTCTGCAAATTCATTTTGCACTACAAACACAGTAAGCTTGAACCTTCTCCAAAAAAGCATAAATATTCCATTCTGTAATATATAAACTTGTTTTGTGAGACATGGCAATTTAGCTCTGCCACCATGTGTGCATTTCTTTTGGCTACCTATCAAGAGTGTTCCATTAGATGTTTGTAATGCAGTACTTTGCTGAATAGCATGATTTCCTCTTACTCCTTGCCTGAAGACTTCTCAAATTCTTTTAATGTCCCCTAGTTTTGTAACCGTTCAAATTAATTAGGTCATTATCAGAGGAGAAAGAAATTTCTCTTTTCTGTAGATGCAAAATAATTGTTCTGATACAGTATTTCTGCCACAGAAACTCTGAGAGTAACAGGCTGGGATGGTGACCCTGGCAGAAGACCCCGCAGATGCAGCTCTCTCATCTGAACATCCTTCTTACTTTACAGTAGAAACAATGAGGAGAATTATTTACTTTCATGAAAATCCTATTGAGCGTGAACAAGCAAAACAGAGAGAACTCTCCTTGGCCAGGATCTCTGTGGTGTGCTGTGCCTCAGCTCAGGTTGCTGTGCTGACCTAGAGGTTTAGGAAGGATATAATTATTTGAAAAAATTCCGGTATGCGTTGGACAGCATTTGCTATCAGCAGAGTGCTCAGAGATCACTATTCCTATGCTTTGAAGGTAAATATTAATCTGTTGGGTTTTGTGGTGGTGGTTTTTTTCTTTTAACTTTTATTTTTTAGTGAGAGAAAGAGTTGAAAAAAAAATCAGTTTTTGTTTAAATGCATGTGGAGAAAAAAAAGTCTTAGGTCACTTTACGTGGTTTCTTTCTTTCTTATAAAAAAGTGAAAAATAACTCCTGATGATATTCATATCCATAGATATGAGTGTCACTTGGTGCATTTCAAAGTGCACTATTGAACAATTGTGATTATTTCCAAACTCATTATGAATCACCACTCACCTGTTGGCATCTGACATGCCAAAGTCATGTCAAATTGCAAACTGTCAGGTGTCTACTCTGTATGGAGCCAAGCCACAAATAAAGCTTGAAATTTCAGATGCCAACACTCACAGTGGCATGCAATTCTCTTCATTGATAGCATCTTTTTATTGCCCTCTTAAATTTGTAGTGCTCCATCCAGAGAAGATACCAACCATTTTAGAATATCACACCATTTCCAAGGGAGAAGCAAAAAGTGGTCATAAATGATGGTGTCGGAAGGTGAGAACAGATTCATAGAGCTATAGAAGTGAAGTTCCAAAGAAGGATGGATTAGAAGAGTGGTTTTGGAGCTATATTGGTTTTGACTGTTTTCATCAGACTGTCTGGGGTTTGATTGGACCCCAAACTTTCAACTGCCTAATTCTAATTGAACCATAAATCCTCAAAACCTTACTACTGTATCATTTAAAGAGACATGGCTTACCATGCCACATTATTTCTTATTTAAATTATATTTTGCAGGACACAGTCACTGAATTGACATGATATACATACTCCTTACTGGTTTTGGACACTTGACAATCTGGTACGATTTCTCTGTGCAAAAAAATTCCTGGATTGGAATCTCATCACTGTAAGGTGTTCCCCAAAGGAGAGTTCAAAGCTAATTGATTGACATGCAAAGGAAATTACTGTAACAGACAACAAAACAGATATATAAACTTTAGACCAACATCTTGCGCTTAGGAAAAAGTGTCAGTAGCCGTTTTAGCAAAGCTTTAGTTTCATTAGAATGCTAGATTGGCAGCTCAGATATATGTAAATTGTACATTTCAAAGCAGGTGTTAATGTAGCTCCTTTAGTACAGCCTCCTGGAAGTTATTTACAGACAATCTTATGTTCTCATGTTTCCCATGCAGAAAAACTGCATGCACTGTCTGCCTAGCAATCAGTGTTTCCAACTGTCCAACCTCAACATCCTTTTCTATACCACGTTGCTGTGCTCTTCACCAAGCATCAACTTGATGGGAAGAAAAAGGAAAAAAGCTGGGGAGGAAGTATTCTTAGGGCAGGGTTAAAGTTGCGTTACTGTTCTCAGGAGGGAATAATACAATAGACTCATTCCTGACTTGTATACACAGATTATTGGTAACACAACCAGCGAGAGCAAAATTAATTTTCTGTCTTACAGTGAAAAATGCTGTGTGTCAGAAGAAATTTGTACTGCTTGGTACTAATGTATAAAGTTATATAAACAACAAACAAACAACAAGAACTGAAATTGAATCAGTTCACCATGTACAGGGTAAAATCCTTAAGTTCTCATTCTAAAAGTCCATTGACTTCTCCAGAAATACGCATTACTGACTGAAGGAATGGGTGCTATGGGATTGCCCCTCACTCTCCACCCATAGTCCAAATCAACTGACAAATAGGTGAAGGGAGTGAAGCATTCATGAGAAGTTGTTCCTGAGATGGTGCACAGCACATTTAGCATTTGGGATTTGTGGCTTAATACGGCAGCAGTACCACATAATGCGTATGAAGTATGAAGTATGAATATATGCTCAAGTTCACTGCTTCTCTGATGGAAATAAAAGTTCTTCAGCTGAGCCCCAGCTCATGAACTGCATTACAATACAACTGACACACAGAAAAGTCACAGCCTTCTCTTGAAGCTGCTACTGGAAAGGAATGAGAAAGTATTTACAAAACATCCTGGGTACGTGCACTACATTCTCTCGAGAGCATGTACAAGCCATTTATTGAGGCAGTGAACAGCATCCCCAAGTGCCACACGATGGCAGCCTCTCAGAAGTCTGAAAGCTTAAAAGGCCATTCCTGGTGCTGCAGCCTAAATATTAAGCCTGAAGATAGAATTTACAAAATGAGGGTAATGAAATTTGGCTGTGGAGCACTCGTTCTGGATTTCTGCTTTCCACCACATCACATGTAGAAGAGGCTACAGGGTGACCCTTTTTACCTTGTGCACATTTGAGGGTTTTTTGCTTGCTTTACTTAGGCTACTTGCAATGAAACATCTAAGTAAAAATTACAACTTAAAAAAAAAGAACTTTGAAAAGCAGTGATTACTGCTGGTTGTTGAAAACGGTGTCCATACATGTACCATGGGACACTGGGAAAGCTTCTATGTGAAGGAGTTGTGTTTGGGTGGAGCTGACTACCTGCATAGGACATGCAGAAGGAGCGTGTGACCTCAGTTCTAATATAAAAGAATAATAAAATATATTTGTCTGCTGTAGTGCTTGAAGGTGTGTGACAAAGTGAGCTTGGTTCTGCACAAGCACAAAACAGAGCTGCATGCTAAGCTCGGGCTGTAGAGCCATTAAGGCCAATTGATTTGCAGATTTCTCTGCAGTTGGGTATCAGCACTGGAACTGTCTTAAATGAAGGCAAACTTGAAAAAGATTGGCAATGTATTACTAGTCCATGACAGGTGTAGAATATCACCATTCTCTATGGTGAATGGAAGTATTGATTTTTCTTTTTCTTTTCCCTTGGCAGTAAGTCTACAGAAAAAAAAAAAATACAATCTTTGCTGGACTTATTATCTGAAATCAAGTAATGCACCACGTGCCTAACAGCCCAGTAAAACCCAAGTATGAATGTCCATACAGCCTCAAAAGTATCATTTCTGCTCCTATATGTAAGTCAGTAACTTGGCTGAAAGGGAGCAGAAGGGGAGCAAGAGCCTGGAATGTTATTAGAATAACGGAAAGTAGGCTTTTGTTTCTGTGTTTTTTTCCATGTAAGCCAAGGACAGAATTAGTCCTTCAGGAGCTGTTTAAACTGCTTGGAAGGACCCAGTTCACTAGTGTTAAGAATGATGCTATTCCTGTCATGCAATCAGTGCTTGAAGGGGGTGCAATATCTGGGTTTTTGGGGCAGTCCTTGGGGGACAGGTAGGTATGGAGACCAGAAATACTCATCTCTCACAGGGGGAGTATTCCTCATCCAAGAGACCCAGAACTCCCTTTTCTTAGGAAGTCAAGAAGCCAGGAGGACTTCCTGGGAAATCCTGTCCCTACATCTACTGCATGGGCATGCTCAGAAAGGAGGCAGTGCACGTTTGGCACTCATCCCAGCACATGCAGAAACTGGGGCACTTAGGAGAGATGGGCACAACCATGCACATAGTTGTCGCTAGAGCTGTGCTGAATGATTGACTTTATTCTATTCTGATTAAGTGCTAAGAGTTCTCATCAGATGGGAAAGTGTTCTAGATGGAGGACCTTCTGTCCAGCTTTGGGGATGCTAATCCCCAGTTTAAAACCAGCAAGTGCTGGTGTGGCACATCACTGCATGCCGCCCCATCTCACATACTGCCTATAAATGTTTTACTGCATTCTTGCTCTGAATTGCATATCTCTTGAAAAGCAGTACAACATAATTAATGCAAATAGCAGTCATAACAATCAGGAATTACGTCTAAAATTAGCATAACCAAGTTGGCAGAGAATAAAAGCAGTTATCTCACTTGGAAAAAATTTCTGCACCCAAAATGTAAATCATGGGAGAAATTGTAAGACTATTTAATCTTTGATGTCCTTATTTTAATAAAACTGCTGTGAACCTAGAAATTTATTTCTGTAAGTCTACACTTACAGAACGCACTTGTAAGCATAATTTGCACTTTGGTTCACGGAAACAAACAGAAATTTCAGCTCATATATTGTTTTGTTCAACCTTATTCAACATGTGCTCCCAGGGCTAAGCGGGTCCTTTCCCCAGGTGCTCAATCAGTGGTTCAGGCCGTGACTCAATAATTCCCATACACATACATACGTTGAAGTGCTCAAGCTAAGCTCCTGAGGAAAGCCAGACAAAACAAGGTGATGCCCCTCTGGAATAAATGTGAGCAGCCAGCATTATTCTCCATGGGCTGTAATCAGGGAAGAGTATCTGAGTTCATTTCTTAAAACCACCTCCAGTATTTATTAAGTAGAACTGTAGAGTCATTAAGATTAGAAAGACCTCTAAGTTCATCTAGTGCAACCACCAACCCATCCCCACTGTGCTCACTACACATGTCCCTCAGTGACACATCTCCATGGTTCTTCAACACCCCCAGGGATGGTGATGCCACCATCCTGCTGGACAGCCTGTTCTAATGGCTCAGCACTCTTCCTCAGAAGACTTTTTTCCCTAATATCCAACCTGAATCTCCTCATGCACAACATAAGGTCTTGTTTTTTTTCTTTTTTTTCTCTTTTGCTGCTGCTTTAGTCAAGCTCCTGCAGCTATGCAGTGTTGTACCTATCAAGCATCCTAACCGTCATGATGTTTTGGATTTTTCACATGGAGGAAATTATAAGGTAAGGATTGTCATTATTGCTTTTTTAATTAGTCACGCCAGTCAATTTTTGTGGTGTGTGGGTCAAAGCCCCCATGGAAGCTACTTATTTAGTGAACAGACAGCCTGGATTAATGTAAGGATTTCTGGAAGCATCTGATTGACATTCAGGGATTTAATGCTCAGATTAATCCAGTAATTCTAATTTTATAATATGATGTGTGTCCTTGCATAATTTCCTCTTTGGAAGCAAAGAACAGCATATATCCCTCTTGCAATTGCTGCAGCTGTAACAACTCCTTCATACTTTAATGGCACTGAATGTGCTTAACAGCTGTCTTGTAAAATACACAGGAGGAGTGCTCGAAAACCAGGGATCATACTCTGGCTGGAAACAACCTAGAAAACCTTTATTAACCACTTCTGTAACCAACGTATTCCTTAGGAAGATGAGATATTTAATGTTTGATATACTCTGGCATGGGAAATCCAGTAAGTAGTTGGACTTCTACACCAAAACCCCATAAATATGAATCTGGCTTTTTAAATGAAGTTGTATTTGGTGGTTTTGTTTGCTTGTTTTGGTAGATGTGGTGCAACAGTTAGTATCAGCAGCACTAATAATCATGCTTTGCTATGCTCACATAATACTGTGAAGTTGACATACTATAGCATTACTGTTAACATGAGGTGTATTGATTTTAATTCTCTTGCTGTTATCCTTGTATTTTCAGATTTCTAACCTGCTTACCAGTTTCTCTAGAATGTGTTTGGGAGTCTGTGGGATTTGAAAGAGGGGTGCTGTCTCATAATCTGCCTGTTTGTCCTGTTTAGTAGGAATTCAAATGCTTAAGGAAGAAATGTTCAAAACAAAGCACCGCAGGTACGGTGCGGTACATAATGCAGACAGAAATAAGCTATTGATAATGGACAAGCTGTGGGATGAATGGAATAATCTGAAGTCTTATGCCTTCATATTTGTTATAGAAATTTGACAAGGTGTGTATATTCTTTGCCATTTACAAATGGAAACCCTTGGCATAAAGGATTATGCTTTGAAACTATGTTTTGAGTACTGAGAGTGTCTCTTCTGTCCTTTGTGGCTGTCATGGTCTGTGCAGTTCTGTGTTCTGCCATTACTTTTTAAGAAATGACCAAACAACAAAGACATGTGAGGGATACTTTGACTCTTACATCAACAGATACAGAATGAAAAAAATCCAGCATCCTACATATCTGCTGTAAATGCTGCTTTTTGCTGTTGTATTTTTTTTTTTTTTTTGATAAGTTGAATCAATGGTTCACCTAGAGGTGGTATGCACTTCCCTTTGTTCTGTATTAGTAAAAATGCGAATTTCTAGTATTATTTGAGTGCTTGCTTGTTTACAATTACATGGTGTATGGGAACTGTTAAGTCAGGGCCTGAACCAGTGATTGAGCACCTGGTGAAGGGGTGTAGCCAGCCCTGGGAGCACAGGTGGAAGCAATTCACCTGTGTGATTGGAAGTCCCTAATTTCATTTAAGGGCTGGCTGCCCCAGGGGAAGGAGCTCTATTTGGAGATTGCTTCCTTGGGAGTGTTTGAGTAGCCTTGATCCTTGGAAAAGGGTAAGTAATTCCTTCTTTATTTCCCGATTCTGACCTCTCTCTTGCATGGGTTATCCTAAACTTATTTAAAGCAGCTATATCTACTATCATCTTTCTCTACATATGGCATATTTCATGCTTTTTTTCTTGGGCAAAAATGCTACCTCTAGTGGTCTTCGTGCACAAATACTTGTCTTAAAATTGTCAAAGCCTTAAGGTTGGAAAAGACTACTAAGACCATCTAGTCTCAACCATTATGCCCTCTCAGTGCCCCATCTAGTCCTACCTGAACATTCTTATTTTGAGACTGACCTCTCCAAGACAGCATGGAAGTGATGTATTGCTGAGTCCTGACCTTGGGTGATTTTGCTGCTTGGTGCACCGTGATAGTCGGTTAGAACTTATAAAGACTGTAGGGTTCTGCAGATAGTTGGTAGGGCTGAGAGTAGTGACTTCGCTGGCATCTGGGGGTGTTGAGATAGGATGGCCCTGTGTCTTCACCTGTTGCAGACTCAGCCATTCATACATAGGTAGCTGTACAGGTCTTTGAAAAAGGGAGTTTTAAGCAGAGTTTACATACAGATGCCTTTTTGGATATGCTTCTACTATTAGCGTGCTTGATTAAATAATTAATGTTGAACATCAGGAGTAAATAAAGGAAAAAGTATCATTGCTTTTCACCCATGAAACAATGAATCTTCATTTTGAAGTCCTCAGTAGATCTGGTTCTATTGGCTGTACTCCCTGTTCTCTGTGCAAGGCTTTTGCACTCAAAAATGGAAATGGCATTGTGCCATGTACTGCATATAAAAACTGCAGTGATATAAAAGCAAGAGGAAAAAGTACTTTGCAGTGCTTTCACTCATCATTCAGTGCCAGCTGGCCATGTGGGACTGGAAGGGCTATTGGTTATGTTTTTATATTAATTTTTTTATGTATTTGGGTTTGGTTCTTGAGTAATAAATCTTGGGTCTATCTTCCTTGGCACCTTTTTATACGAGGGTTTTGAGCAATTTCAACTTTATCTACGGATGAGAAGGGTTTCAATAAGTTGAAACTGTGGGTGTTGTGTTGTTTTTAATTGTGCTGGTGTGCATGCAGGTTTAATGCCAGCAAATGTTGCTTGCAGTCTGTACCACATTTCATTGGCTGTAATCAGAATGAACAAACAGCCTCACTCCATGTAGAAGTGCAGGCTCTACCATCTGAAAAGGTGTATTTTTTTTTTAATTGATCATTCATTTAAACAGATGCCAAGATGACTTCCTCACGTTCACAGACTTCGCATGTGTCACCTTTCTGCCTTTGTTCTTCACGTTCTTGCAGTTGTGGGCTGTTACAGTAACTGGTATTCTCTTGTGCTAACTTAATAAATATCAGTAAGTGTTGTTTCTTCTGTGGATGCTCACCTAAAAATCCAATTATGGTTTGGAAGATGGGTAATCTTGAACTATCCAACTTTCCGTTTATTTTTTTTAACAATCTGTCTTTAACTACTGATTTCTCCTTGTAATGTGTTTTTGCATAGTTACTGCCTGTCTTTAACTCTCCCACACCCTCAATTTTTTCCTCGTTTCTGTAGTCATTGTTTCTCTTGTGTTACTCCTTCTCTCAAGAGAAAATACTCTGCCGTGTTTCTTAAGACGCAGTGTCAGAGGAGAGCAATCTTATTTTATGAGGCATGAGTTTACCTAAGATGACAAATGGCTGCCTGAGGACTTGGAGCATTGCTACTGAGCTCACTGGAAGGCTTTTACGACTTGCAGTGGGGTATAAAGACATCCATGGGCTTTAAGATTTTATGTAATAAATACTAGGAGGTATAAGGAGCACAAAGCTGGTGACAGCAGCAGTTCATGAAATCCTTCTCTAACTTAGATGATTTCAGAAGGGCAATGAGGGTTAACGGCAGCAAGAGTTCATGCTTGTGGTCTGTATAGTTGCCATCAAAAGGTATGCATGTTTCTGATATTGTACTACTGTAGGTGCCATGCTCTGATTGTATAGGGATGGCCAAAGAGTTCAGAATGGTGACTTTCCTGAGCTGTGTGAGGAATGGGGTTTTTCTGGCACTTCAACATGGAAGAATGGGCTTGTTGGAGGGCAATATGGAGAAAACCATAGTAGGGGCTGCGTACATCTCATTGGCCATTGTGTATGAGCACAGACAAATGTAGAGTAAACCTTTACTGCATGAGGGTACTGGGCTGCCAGGCTTTGTGCTTACAGTGCGCTGTGGCTGTAACTAGACTACATATATTTTCTGGCTTTGCTCTGTGCCACTAAGGACTACTTAAATATTTTTTTCTACCTCAGTACTGTTGTACAGTCACAGCTATTCTGGAATGCTTGAGGGAAAAAAGGGAAGCTGACACTGTTTTCCTCTCCGTCTGTGACCAGAAGACAAATTATACAAGACTAAGCTTGAAAAAGGGGGTTGAAAAAAAAAAAAAGAGTAAACCCCACTTTCTGTGCTGTGTCTGAATCAGAAAAGTTCTAAAGCAAGTACATAAGTTATGTAGAATATAAGTATGGCTTGATAATGACAAGTCAATTCCTTTGTCTTCCTCAAAGAAGCCAATAATTTGGAACCTGATATTGGAACAGCCATATCTACAGTCTGTTTCACTTTATGCTTCCGACTTGAGCAGTGTTTTCCTGTGTTGAGACTTGAGCAATATGGGGAAAAATACTTGCTCTTAAAAGCCAGTTAAAATAGATTGCATAATCACAGAATTGTAGGGGTTGTTTCTGTACGTAGCTGTCTGATAGACTTAGATATGAAAGTAATTTGAAAATAGAGAAATAAATTCTAATTGTTTCCTCCATTCTATGGGAAATCATAATAAGAGTTATGATATTATTAAATAAAAGTAGATTTTTTTTACTTCCATATTTTTTTATAGAAAAACAGCTCCTTACTCTAAGCACATAGATGTGCATGCATATGATAAAATATATGCAATGTTTGCTGTATAAAGGAGTTCTAGAAAAGCAGCGTTGTTCCTCTATTTTCTGAGAAAGCGTGAATAAATGATTATTTCTTCTGTTCATTTAGATCTAATTGTCTTTTCACATAGAGACATAGCTGTATGAACTGAACCTGACTGTGTTGTTATACTTCTGTGAAGATGTGAAAATGGACCAGCTCTGACAGACCAGTCCTCTGGTAAGTAATTATTGGAGAAAAAAGTGGGGAAAGAAAACAAGCACTGTTGAATAGAAATAGCATTACTAGTTGGTGTAGGAAGTAACTTTCTTTTAGGCACTGAGATTTCAGTCTTGCTAGATATTGCTTCTGGGACCTAGGAAAAGCTGGAGGATTGCACAGGGTTCTTGTTTATCAGAAATCTCTCCAGTCACTGGGTTAACAAGTCTGAAATAGCACTTATTTAACTGGTCATGTCAAAGCAGAGCTTTTTGATGAACTTCTGAAATGCTCTCAAGGAATGCAGACCTGGCTGTTAATACTTTAAGTAAGCTAAATGCACAAGACTTAAAGGAGATACTGCAAGCAGTATTTGTCTCTTGTTGATAGTAAATTAGTTGCTGGAGTGAGAGCTTGCTACTTGTTTGTTGTGCTGTCCGAGGCTCTGATTGTTTTATGTCTGGAAAGTCTTGGGCCATCCTCTTGATTTCTCTAAGACAAATTGCTTGAGTACTGCTTACTGTAAGTGGGCTGAAGGAAGAGGTCCTATGGCAGAGCTGTTATGTTATTCACTAATAACAGTAAACCTTGTACTTAAGTCTTGAGAAAGTTTCCTTCATAATATTTGCAAAACCAACTTGTTTGCAGTAATACTTCTGAAAGAAGTAAACTTTCTCAATTAGAAAAAAAACCTGAAGTAATTAAATGAAGTGAGCAAAAAGCAGAAGAGAGGAAAAAGTGAGCTGTAACTGACTGCTGAGAGCTGAAAAGATTCACAACATATGTCTCCCTCTGAACACAAATATATCTGCCTTGTTTATAAAGGCAATCAAAGAGAGAAGGATGTGAAGATAAGTGCCTGCCACATCAGTAGCCCTGTGATTGGAACACTGCCCTGAGTTCTCTTGGCTGCCCACAAAGGCTTCAGCATGCTTGGGCAGCTTTAGGAACAAAATGCAGAATCTTGTTGTTTTCTTTTTAAGTAATTGCACAGGTGAATTACTTTTCTTGGCTTTGTTTCCAACTCTGGATTTTCCACTCACCCACAGTGCATCTCTATATCTGCCCCTGTCTGGAAATGTGATTGTGCTATAGTGCTGCCTCTTTCTAGCTGTGCTACAGAAATTAACAGTGATCCTTCTTTCACCATTTGAAATACAGCTGTGGACACCCAAGGTGATGAGAAGAGAGACATGGAGTCAATTTTCTAGGCAGAGTAAGGGATTCAGATGTGTTGTTACAATGACTATTTGCTTAACGGTAGATAGCTCATTACTATCCTCCCTGCCGGCTTATGCATAGGCTTTGCTGAACACCATTTTCTCTCCAAAATTGTACAGGAAGTATTGGTACACAGATTTGAGATTTGGGTCCCATTCAGGGGGCCACAGGCTCAAAAGGCAGATACATCTGTTCAGGAGGAAGTTTTTCACACAGGGTGGTAACACATTGGAACAGGTTGCCCGAGGAGGTTGTGGATGCCCCATCCCTGGAGGCATTCAAGGCCAGGCTGGATGTGGCTCTGGGCAGCCTCGTCTGGTGGTTGGTGACCCTGCATGTAGCAGGGGGGTCGAAACTCGATGATCACTGTGGTTCTTTTCAATCCAGGCCGTTCTATGATCCATGTACAGTTTCCAGATATTGAGATATTCCTTGATATTGAACCCAGAAGTATCTAAAGAGACATAATAAAGATTGCTCTCAGTGAAGTGATCTGGGCCAACTTCTAAGTGGCTATTTCAGGCAGTTTTTCCATAGGGAGCAGTAGTCCTCTGCAAAAGTTTCATCGCACAGCATTTTGTCCATCTGTTCTGTGATTTTTGTGATAGGAAGGAAGCTAAAATTAGTTTGGAATTTGTTCCTATTCCTGCTGCTGGTCTGAAACTGTCTAAGGAGGAAAGAGAACTCAAACTCTATGGTGTATTTAGGAATCCCACGGACTGATATGTTGTCTTTTTCTCAGTTAACTTAGGAAGAGTTGAGTGTTGTATTTTCTTTTTTTCTCTCATGTCGTCTTTAACAATCATTTCAGTGTCAATTCAAAACAAAAGCTTTACTGTAAGTGTCTGCTGGGTAACAGCACAAATTGAAGGAGATGCTTGTATCTGGTAGCAGTTTCCATTTGTTGCTACTGGTAGTAAAGCCAGGTCTTCCAGCTTGCTTTTTCTTTATGACAAAACCATTAATCCTGTTTCAGAAGTATTCTGCTTTAATGAGAACGTGTCAACATAAAGCCACATGACTGCGGGTTAGGCAATGGTTTGAGGTCTCTTAGTTCAAATACATGGGCAAAAGATGTTTCTGTTCTCCAGGAAAAATACATAATAGGTTCTGAGCTGCACAAATGCAGAGCTACAGCATTACTGAACTTTTTATTGCAAAAATTCAAGTTATACCTATAAAAAGATTAAAAACAGAGCAGTGCTTTCTCCTGTGGTCTAGTTAGTAAGTATTCTTACAAATTCTTCAAATTGTTTTTTATTTGGGGGAACTTGTATTTTTTTTAAATCTAATTTTTTGTAAAAATGATTTATTAAATTGGTGTGTGCAGTCATCTCTGTCCAGTTTAGATAATTTTTATGCTGTCACTTTGCATTCCACGACACTTTTTGGTGAATTTCTCATGAATTCTATTCAGTAGTATTTGAAGTACTTTGTTTTATTGCAGGAAGGGGAAAAAAAGTGTTCTGTTCCTGTAAATCTTGCAATCAGAGAAAGAGAATGTTTCCTTCATGTGAAGGTGATAACTGTTCAAAAGTTTCAATATAAATCATACTACTGCTTAAGTTAATATTCTCAATACATACTGCTTTTCAACTTTACAAAATGTGTGGGCCAACCATAATTGGTTGGATACTTGAACACTACAGTGGCATCTTCATATGGTGTACTGCAAAAAAATGAAAGAACTCCAGAATATGTTCCTCTTGATATGTTATCTGTTGATGGTATTTCTGTTCTACTTCACTAGATCATAATTTAACTGTTCATCATTAAACTGTTTTGAGCTATATTGAATGTTAAGTGTTCTTATCTTACCTTGGGTAGAAGCGTTATTGTATTATACACAAAGGTCATAGTTTGTAAATGATATTAAGACTTGTTGTTTGTGAAGTGCAGTGGACCTTACTTTTGTCTTTAGGCTCCTCAGATGCAATGATAACAATATGACAGAATAGTATGGAACCATATTAAAGCATCAGTGTGATGTTTGAGTTTGAAACATTAGGATTAGGGCACTCAGAACTTTGTTTTGGGAGGTGAAGTACCAGGAGGAAGGAATCCATGCCAAGACATCACCTACAAATGTTGATGAAAAGAAATAGTGTTTTCTTCCATGTCGGAGCTCTGTGTTTTAACGTTGCTTCATCTGTATGATAGCAATGAGAAATAAATTAGAGCATATCGTACACTGCAACCTGGCTGGGAATGAATTGGCACCTGGTTGGTGTAGAGCTGATAACAGAGTTCAGTGAGGACTCAATTCACTTGAATAAACATAGGCATCAGTGCAGCGTGAAACACCGAGTGGCTTTTATAGAACATGTAGCATGATACTGCAGCCTCTTTCTAGCCAAATAGACTGGTTGTAAAAAATAAAATCTGAAATTGGCCTCTACAACTGTTTTCAGTCAACATTAGCAGTTCTCTCAGCTTTTATTTCTATTCAGGCAGGTTATGGTCTTGCTTTCCCCATCTGCAGAAATAGCGCAAGGTAAAAGTGACGCCTGCCATGTACTTCTGGCAAAACTTGCAGAGCTCGTAGCTGTTCTTGTTTTCTGATCGAGATTCATATTTGTCGAGATTCATATTTGAAATGCTGGATGTAGATTTGTCCTAACTTCCTTGACTGAGAGTGTCTAGAGCAGATATATTGTTCCACTGTAAGTATTTAGACACTGATCGGTTTTTTCCCCACTGATATGAACAGATTGGGATCCTTGTTTCTCTGTCTTAGGCAGAATTTTCATTTCATGAGTGTCCCTTTTTTTATCTTACTGTTTCTATGGCATCCTTTGCAATATGGCAGAATGAAATGAAACACAAAGACAAGTATGTTGAGGCAATGGAGAGCAGGGTGAGTTTGAAGCACAAATAGCATCACAATTAGTAGAATCAGAAAGCCCAGAGAACACAGGCTCTATTGTATCTTAGCTATTATTTCAATTCTGAAATGAAAAGATGCTGGCTTGAAATTAGACTGATTTCACAGTCTGTGCCTTTGGGGAATTTATGGACCTGTCTGGCTTGACAAGTTTGCTCATCATCATCACTTAGCTGTTATTTCATTCCAGAGTTAATATTAAAATATGGTGCTTGAAAATGTTGGTCTGCCAGATGTATGTAATAGAAGCAGCTGAGAGTATGCTGTGGAATTAACAAAGCTGAGGATCTTGTCCTGAATTTGTTGCTTGTCTCAGCAAGCTCCATCAGAGAGTGGCATTAAATTACAGTTGTCTGTTTTGCCTTGCAATGCATCTGGATAGAGACCTTGAATTTTCTTTGGAGCTGTGCAAATAAGAGGAAAATATGATTTTCCAGTTGCTGCTTCTGTCTCTCCAATTCTGTGCTGGGCAGTATATGGTATGAAATGGGAGAGCCTAAGCTACTGCTGCTAGGACAAGGCAGCCAAAGGTCCCAGTGGTGGTGCCTGGGCAAGGAAGGCTCCATCCCAGCATCTCATGCAATGCATGCTCTCTGGCCCTCACCCAGCATTTCAGAGCACTGCAACCATTCCTTTGGCATTGTGCCCATAAAGTGGCTATGGTGAAGAGGATTGTCTCTACTTTGAGAGCATGCATCCCTTATATAGTGCACTGGGTGTCTGACATCTTGCTGTGGATGAATTTTCTTAGGCACAAATGAGAATTTGTATATTATTTCATTTTGAGTTGCTGACAATTCTAGGCTCCTTCTAGAATCTGGAAATGCTTGTTCACCATCCAATCTGCTCATGGATTGGAAGAACCACACTTTTCAAATTGTTTAAGTACACAAATGTTTAAGTAATTTCTCCCATT